TAATTTTTAAATAGTGTTTAAAGCTTATAAGGTAACTAGTAAATACTATATAAAAATTTAATTTTATTAAATTTTCTGGACAAAAAACAATTATATAAAATCAGAAATAGTAGTTAAAGCTATTTTAATAATTGGTACATATTATGAATGCTAAATAGAATAGAATTATATTATTTAAAAGGATAGTTTATATTTTAAATTTCTAGAAATTTGCTTTTAAAAACTATCACAATGTAGTACAATATACTACCAGTAGTATGCCAAAATACTAACCATTAAAATAAATATCACTGCAAAAATAACATTGCTGGTTATAAGTGATAAATAACAAATATTTTATAATTATAACATACCATCTTTATAATTTGTCTAATATAGTCTTTTTTATTTGACATGCGATAAGGATTTTTTATATAATCCTTATGAAGAGTCTCATAAGTCTCCGTGGTCATACTGTTTATTGACCAATATTCTTGAATTGCAGGTACTACATGATGGCATTAACTGTGAAGTTTTGGGAGTTGAAGACCACTTGCAGAATATTTTGAAAATATTTTAACAAATTTTTTAGCCCATTCATTAATGAAGACCTATGAGATAAATTGTTAGTTATTAGAACTATTAAAAAGGTAACCACTTGTTCTATACCTGAAGCTGATTACAGAAATTGTAAGTAAATGATTCCTCACAAGCGCAATATATATATGAAGAAATTGGTAATGAACTTTGCATAATGTTCATTACTAATTCCTGGCTTTCAATAATTCTTATAGAGGTTATCAAGTACAAAGATTATTATTTTCATTAAGTTACACAATTCATTAGCTGTTATACATGTTATATCTGATAAGTTTTTTATTATTTTAAGCCCAGAATATCGAGAAATCGATGTTAATCGCTATTCAAAGATTTGAAGCACTCTGCTTTTACACTGGTCTAATAGAAGCTCTTTAGTATAATCTAGCATATATTTAAAGAGGCCAAGATCTAATATGTACATTCAATTAGAAACAATAGCTTCATATACATTAAACTCTCTAAAAGATTTTATATTTATTATATTTTTAGTACAATAATTTGGGCTTGGTGTAGAGAAAAGGGATAAGTTTAAAAAAAAATAATATTCATAAAATTAATTATAATTAATTTTATGAATATTATTTTTTTTTCAAATTCATTCCTTTTCTTAATATTACATACCCAATCTCCCAAAATACATTTATTTCAGGATAAAGTGAATAATCATGTTCTTCTCCACTACTTATTGCTTGTCTCATAGTATTGGGAGTTCTTGGGATTATACCCATTAATTTAGTCTTATTTAAGTCATTCTTTGATACCAAACATTTTCCACATGGTAGACTCGAGGATAATGGTTAATAAACGTTAGCAAACTTATAGAAATTTCTTTAAATATCATATAATGAATAGTAGAATCATTGAGAAATTCCTTTCCAGCCTTTGTTAATGATGGAAGTGGTGAAGTATCCAAATTGAAAAACTTGTTTAAGAAGCTTATAATAGAATCTCCAGCCGAATTTGACAAGTGATATTTACTAACTATTACTATAAACTCACGATAGGCATCGTTAGGCCATTCGAAGTTTTGAGGATGATCTAAGTCATCAAAGCATTTTCAAACGAAGCCCCCTGGTAGTCTTCAAGATCAGGCACTGTATCCAAATTATAAAAAGTACCAAATGATATGTCACCATGGTCTTCAATATTACTTTCATCAAACCTAATTTGAGATACAATGTCTTCTACTAAAAGAGGTGTAGTATCTATTTGAAGAAGTTCTATTTCCATCAAAGAATGCACATGCTCATCAGAACTCTCAAAACAGGGTGGTATTGACATATTTTCACTCTAAATGAAATATAATCATTCTTTAATGTTTATTACTATATGAAAAAGAGATTAAATCTGATATACTGTAGCTGATACATTGCATTTGACACTTGGGCATGATAAATCATCAAATGTGACAAACAAGAATTAGCTGATATTATCAGCTAATTCTCGTTTGTCATGTCTGATGATTCATTACGCCCAAGTGTCAAATACAATGTATTAGCTATATCAGATTTAATCTAAAAAATATTAACTATTTACCTTATATTCTGAAGAATCATAATCAGAACTATATTTCAGATAATTCCAAATATTTTCATCCACTTGTTTATCTGAGAGCTCTGGATTTGTATGGTTTTGAATATTAGGATGCTTTTGTAAATAAGTTGTGTTAAGGCTTGAGGCCTTGTAAACAAACAATTGCAATGATTATATGGCCAATCCATTTTAAAGCAAAAAAAAAAAAGATAGCAAGAGAAAGAAAATAAAAGGGAAAATAAAGAAAAAAAAAGATAGATCAAAAGAGTACAATTAAAATATATAAGGTGCCTCATATTAAAAAGGATCATTTTGACATATATCTTATTTTGAGATAATTAAGTTTAATCATTTATTTTGATTTTTAGACTAATCTGGGATTAATTAAATTTTATAATTTTGATTGGTTAAAGGTAACAGATGACTATCAGGTAATCTCGTGATGTGCTCTGCTTTAGGAAGCTTCATGTAATTTTTCTTTTACATTATCTTTATTTTTCATTATGAAAATCAACTTTCATTTATAATTGAAAAATGCCAATCATGTCAAAATTTACATGAATCTAATAAAAACTCATTTTTCAAAAAATTGCAAAATAGTCCCTTTTAATATGGGATACCCCATATATTGATTATAAGGATCAAATAAGAAAGATCTAAAGAATATAATATGAATATCTTTTTTAAATTAATTTATAAAATAAAATTTATATAAATCTATTTATATAATAAAATCTATTTATATAATAAAATCTATATAAATCGATTTATATCAATAAAATTTATATAAATTGAATTTAATCACTTTAAGTAATTTTGTGTATTGCACGTTTTCATGAGGCAATAACATATACAAAAACTAGCATATATTCGTGTATTATGCATGACATAATGAGTAATATTAAATTATAATTATATTAATGTAATATCGGTTTGATAATGACAAATCTGTAAATCTCAGCAATAGTCTATAAGTATGATAACAAACCGAAAGAATGAAATAAGTTTTCATTTTCATATTTTATTTTTAAATAATGATTACTGTCATTAAATTTATTAAATTACATATTTGTGAAGTTTTTAAATATACAAATATAAATACAACAGATTTTCAACTGTTAAAGGTAAATACATTAAATACATTTTTGAAATTTTTGAATTAAAATGTCAAACAACTCTACTAACTCAAACAACTCAAACTTACCTGCACCTTCTCTCTCTACCCCTATAACAACTACATCTCTCTCTCAACCGATTACTTTTGATACAATTGCTAACCATAACAACTTTTCTAAAACTCGTTGTCCTTCTCATACATACCATTTTCAATTGGTTACTCATAATTCTCATAACTGCCATTCAACTTGTTCTTTATTTGTTACTTCTCATATATCTCGTTCTTAATCATTTACTTATAATCCTCATAATTGCCATTTTCCATCGGTTACTTATAATAATACTTATGATGATAATAATGATTTATCTAATTCATCAAAAAATATTATAAACATTCATAATATCTTTGCTAAGATAAGAACTCAATATGTGTCATATCAAACTTTAAAACAAGCTTCACAATCCTGCCAAACTTCACAATCCCGCCAAACTTCACAATCCCATCAAACTTCACAATCCTGCCAAACTCAACAATCCTATCAAACTCAACAATCCCACCAAACTCAACAATCTAACTAACCTAAACAATCTAACTAATCTCAACAATTTATCTAACCTTAACAATCTAACTTACCTCAACAATCTAACTTACCTCAACATTTTAGTCAATCTAACGATCAAGATCAGTCCTTATTACCACAGCGTGACCCTAATCCCGAATCAAGAGGTAGATCACAGAAAAGATAATCAACAAATCAGAATCAGTTATGTAATCAAGATTGTAAATCTATATATAGTTTTTTTTTTTTTTTTACTTTGAATATCGATGTCTACCTTATAATTTTTTTATTTTTTTTTTTAAAGTTTTTTTTTATTTTTTTTTTTTGAACGTTTTTTTTTTTTCATTGAAGAATGTCTCTGTAAGAAAGACAAACCCACTAAGATGAGTGTTCTAAAATTGAGCCACTTTATGTTTAAAACCGGTACTTGTATTTACTAGTTAAAAGAATTTGAGATGATAGGAGAGAAATCAAGGCCGAAGTAAAGTGCCAAAGGAGAGAAAAGGAAAATAACCTTTTACCTCAAGTGCTAGATGTAAGTTCTAGGTGTTTTTGCTTAACTATAAGCAGTAAGGTGATTACTTTTTAAAATATATTTGTTAGGATGTGTATATGAATATAGTAAAGCGCCTCTTCCTGCGCCAAATATATTTCTCCCAAAGTACTCTCAAAGAAACTTTGAAGTGCTACTTGGACGAAATATACCCTGAGTTTATAATGACATAAGCTTTAATGAATTTACAAACCGTTTCCACGCTGAATAGTGTAGTTCTGTATGTAGTATTCATGCTTTGTCTCTTGTAATCATTTAAGTTTAGTTATTTTTTTTTATTTATTATGGTTTATTTATTCACGTTCTAACTTTATTATATTTTATTAGTTACTACAAAAAATAAAGAATTACCATAGATCAGCATTACAAAATGCTAGGAATGCCATTTGAAGAATCTTTGGGGCTAAAAAGCTCCTACCCTTGAAAATAACACTTCCGCGTCAGAAATTGTGAGGTAGAAGAAAAGTAATAAGATATACAGAATTTAGATATGTATTAGAATTATTGTAATTTCTAGGACTTTATGAATTGCTTTTTTGATTTCTAATACTGAAAATCAATGAGATTGCTGATTGCTTCTACTCGCTTTTTCAACAAAACGATCTGGCGTCTATTAGATTGACATAATTGCAAGATCTGCCTTCTCTATAGTTGCAGTACCTGACTTGGCTCTCGAACATTGTGCATTTATGTTATTAGTATGCGATATACTATTAAACCCTGAGTCAAAAAATGTAAAATGCACAGAAAAACTTACGAAGTGCTGACTAGTGCGATATTTGGTAAGTATTAGCATTTTTTGGTTTATATTAACACAAAATTAATGAACTTTGCATCGTAGGATGATTTAAATAATGGAGGACTCTTCTATAAATTTGCTCGAGAATTACTAAAAATGAACTTGGGGCAATGAAGATGAAAGGTCCTGACCAACCTTGTCCCATTTAGAAAATGAAAAACCTGAACCAATTTCAAGACTAGGCTCTTCAATACAAACCTCTCTAGATCTAGATGATCTAAATGAATTGTTTGAAGTCATTTAGTAGTAGTGGTAGATTTTTTTTTTTTTTTTTTTAGCTTTAGCTTTTTTTTTTCCCTTTTTGGCATAATTGCCTCATGATATAACAATAATAATGTATAAAAATAAAATAGTTTTACAAATTCGAAATATTGCTTCAAATTAATATATAATACGATGTATGGATCTTTAAACTATAATGATTTTAATTGATATTTTAACTTAATTGTTGATAAATGATTATTTCATATTAGGTATATATCGATTTAGATTGAAATCAATAAAAATTGACAGGTATAAAACCGGCTATATATTAATTATAATCACAATTAATAAAACCTAGTAGGGGTAATTACAATCGATATATATTCATGTAGTTACTAATCAATTTATATCTATGTATAAAATTTTCTGATGAAACCAACTAATATCAACTAAAGATGTGGTTAAAGAATTTGGGAGTGATGTATTTATATAAATTTATAAAAAAGTATCTAAATTAGTTGTCATATTTTGAGATTAGTTATATAAGATGAATATTTGTTCAATATATATTGGGTTGAAGATTATATTTTGAGATTGGTTATATAAGGAGAATATTTGTTTGATATATATTGGGTTGAAAATTATATTTTGAGATTGGTTATATAAAAAGAATATTTGTATTGGATAATAGTGTAATAGTAATATTGAAACGAAAGAGATAGTAGATGGTATTGGAGGAGATTTTAGATTAATTTGTATTAATAATTGTAGTTCTAAAAGGTTGATTTTGAGTGTTATTAGTGTTTTTGTTAAGAATAAATAATTATAGATATTGATTATAATATATCTGTTATTGTTGTTGTACTATTAAAAATAGTTATTTAGCTAGTTTTATAATTGCTTATAGAAAATATTAAGAGATTTGTAGGGTTTGTTGAAAATTGTTAAAAGAAATATATAAGTTATTGTTGTATTCTTTACAGAAACTTGTAAAAAGTTGTATCTGTTTTTATAATAAAAAAATAATATTTTAAAAATATTATAAAAATGTTTTTTAAAAAAAAGTTGTTATAAAAACATTTTTTCTCTTCATAATGGGCTTATAACTAGTAATTGTAATATCATGATAATGTTTTTTGCCAAAAACAATTTTTTTTAAAAATTTTTAAAAATTTTCAAAAAAAATTTTTGTATAAAACATTATCATAATATTATAATTACTAGTTATAAGCCCATTATGAAGAGAAAAAATATTATAAAAACATTTTTTTAACAACTTTTTTTTCAAAAACATTTTTATAATGTTTTTAAAACATTATTTCTTTATTATAAAAATAGATATAACTTTTTGCAAGTTTCTGTAAAGCTAGTGAAGTTGCTAATGTTTATTATTATTTAGCTGATATAAAAGATCAAAAGTATTAATAAATGGGTTTATATTATTAAGTTTAAGGATTGAAAAAGTTGTTAAAATAGAAAAAAAAGAAATTTGATTCTGTAAATTTTTAAACTAACTTGGAGTTTTCCTAGTTGCTTTACCAGTTCAAAGGTAGATATTATTCTATAGTAATAGGTTATTATTTGTTGCAATTAGTACATTACAAAGTTTGTCAAAGTACTTAAAAAATACTTGTTAAGTATTTGCTAAATACTTAATAAATGCTTATTGGGCCTAAAGTATGTTGGAATATAATTATAAGCACTTATTTAAAGTACTTAAAAAATATTTAAAAATTATATATATTATAAATATAAAGCTTAATATAATTTAAAATTTAAAGTACTTTAATAATATTAAATTTAAGTGCTGTTTAGTGGGTACAATGTTGTGTTTGGTTCAACTTACTGATATAGTTGTTCTACAAAGAGAATATAATTATTGCAAAGACTTTGTATTGTAGATTTGTTTAAATTGGAAAATTTGATGAATAGGATTAGAGCTAGGAGGCTGATGATAATTAATAAGTTGGTTAATTGTTAAATAGAAAATATTAAGTTCATTTTTAATGATTATATATAGGTAATTAATTATAGTATAGTGTTAGGTTTTGTTAAAAGTAATTAAATTAGTAGAAATGAGCTCTGGTTGCTAATTAGCAACTAGCCAACTTCTAATTCTGTGTAAAGTAATTTGATTAAGTAGTGATAGAGAGTTGAAAGATTTTTCTATATTAGCTATAGCTAAAAGTAAGAAAGTTTAGAATGAGAGTTGAATATTAGATTATAAGAGTTTATTAGAATACTGTTGTTTATATTTTTAGGTAATGAAGGAATATGTTTGATTTGAACAAAGTTTGTGCTAAAATTATTTATATAAGATATTCTAGTGATAGGTTCAAAATAATATTAATAATATATGTAATGTATATTAGAAGACGTTTTATATATTTAATTGTATATAGCAGATTTTCTACTTTGTTTTGGATTTTTTTTATTATTGGTTTGGTAGAGCTTTTTTCATCATAATAAATATCTAGATATCTTATAATATTATTAGACTTATATAGTATTATGATAAGATTATTAAAATTAAAAAAAAGGTTAGTTGATTTAGAAGAATTGAATACAAGAAGATTACTTTTTTGAACATTAACTTGAATATTATTATTTTTATTTTTTTTTCCTTTGATAACCGTGTACTAAAATTTTATTAAATATATAACGCTTAATACAAGACCAAGCTATCTAATAGGGTATTAGACTAAAAGCCGGCTGTCTCTCTGAGATGCCCAACCTTGGTTATCACACTAATATTGGCCACTATACCCCACATATGGTGCACTGTATTTAAAGATATAATATAGCCGGGGCTCAGCTCCCACCTCAGGACCTCTTTTCCCTTCTAATTCTTCCTTCTTCTCAAGAGGCATGAGACAAAAGGGTAAAAAGTTTAAACCAAAAAAGACAAATACGAAAACGACCAAAAAAGAAAAACAAATAAAAAGAAAAAATAAACACAGATTTTGAAAAAAAAAAAACATGAAAAGAAAACTAAGACCCTAAAGGCTCTATTATAACCTGTGCAAGGTTGGTAAAAATTATATAACAAATGCAACATTTGTATATCTTTCTTGTAAAAGTAAAACTCTACATTAATATTAAAGTTACCTTTCTGACCTTCCCACCAAATTCAGATAGCTCTGTTGTCCGAGGACCTATATCAAGGCTCCCTTTTGCCGTAATTAGAGTTTTTAGACCGAGTCCCATGTAGTAGCGCCATATTCGTCCGTAAACAAACACGTGGTTGCAATCTACTAGTCCGTTCAAATTTGGGAAATAAACAATGTCGATCTTTTGGAGGGGTAAGCCAAATCCCCACTTTTTGTTGAAAAATTTTGGAAGAAAGGCAGGGAAGTGAGAAAAAGATAGTAGGCACCACTTGGCCAGAAAAAGGGAGTGTGGCTTAAAAGAAGCCCGTTATTTACTGTTCCCAGTTGTTTCGAAACCGATAGCTTTGTCGACAGAAGGCTTGAACTTCTATCATCTCCACTTATCTACCAAAATTTCATATATGAGGGCACCATCTTCTGCCAGTTATCTTGTATACAGACACTTTTAGCTTGCATGTCGAATATATAAAGGAGTCCCCAAGAATAGAGAAAGGCTAACCTTTATAAAAACCGCCCTGTTGAATTCACCTCACTACAGGTTACTACTCTCCAGTATCGAAAAAGACTTTTCTTTTTGTCGGAAAATTTGGTCCAAGTGATCGTCGGAAAGAGTTAATAATTTTATGAATGTAAATTCTTTCATATATATAGTTTAATTTATATATATATATGTTATATATTTATACGTATAATTTTTTTTTAAGTTATTTCCAAATAGGTTTCAAAATCTACCAAACCTCCATATTAATCGACATTTAGTAGATCATGCACGACAATATTCAACATGTGTTAATACGGCAGTTGGTATAAAAGAAATGGTGCACCGAATCTTTAAATCGATTATATCACATACGAATAAACGAGATCTTGAACTTGCATTATTTCGGCAAATCAATACTTTACAAACATTAAGATTTTAGTGGATAGTGGAACTGATGATCGAATTAGCAATATAATAACACAATCAATGTTTAAAGAGCTAATTGGTGAACCACGGTTATGTCATTTATTGTCAGGTTGGTGTATCGATGATAGAAGCTTTTCGATACATGCACCTCAAGAGTATAGTCAAGGTAATACTATATATATATGTATATTTCTTATTAAGAAAGCACATTAAATTTACAATTAATTTATTAATACAGATGATCTCATTGATGCTGAAAGTTTTTTACACTTAAATTGTTTTGAAATCAAGCTTGGAACAAAGTGGAGTAAACGTAAAATTGAAAACACTGGATTTATTTCTGTTGACCTTACAACTAACGGCCTTTTAGACAGTATAGTGTGGATATACTCTTCATATTTTGCATTGGAACAAGCTTTATTAAGGACAACGATCAGCTTTCATCAAAGCATATCATATTTTATAACTGAACCAACTGGTAATTATCATCACGTGAAATTCAGTGTTGGTGAAATAGTTGAAGCAACTTTACCTGGAAGGCAACAACCTGAATTCGGGATTATCAAAGGAATAATAAAACACATGTAGAACGATGATCAGATTTATGTGTTTATCTATTTGAATGAGTTAAAAAAACTTACGAAATATGATGATTTATTAGAATGTCCTATCTACCGTCTTCAGCGTATTTATAAAAATTCCTTGGATAGAATTCATCCAATTTCAATTGTGTCACAGTCACCAAATGTTCTATTCGTTCACAATTGTAAAGTAAGATGTTCTCCACAACAACACAATAATACAAATTGTGAATATATCCGGAATGATTTCTTTTTTACAGCAATTTAAGTGTAGAGAGTTATTTTTTTAAAAAAAATATATATTTATTCATTTTAAAATTCTTATACAATTAGAATTTACATAACAATTACGATTCTTTTTTAATTTTCCTTATATAAATATTTAATAATCTTTATTGGTGGTTGGTAGTTCTTTAATTAATTATTTAAGTTCAACAATGGCAACAGATTTTCTAGCCTAAAACCCGTAATGCCATTTAACATGTCTGTGAGTAGGTTGAGTAGAATATAATATATCGAATAACATTCAAATTATGCTATTCAACATGTTTGAATGTCTCTATCCTATATTCCAATATCTCTCAATATGGGGCATGTGTCAAAAGATTATCGATCATGAGGTAATCAGTAAAATTACTATATAAGTGATTTGTTTTCTCTTTTTTCTATGATTTTTCAAGAATTTTTTATCTTATATGTAACTTTTTCAAATACACTATTACGGTACAACTACCTTATACTGCGATCATGCTTCACTTAAGTTTCCCTCTCAAACGGGTATGATTTTTTTTTAATTCAATTTTTATTGTGTATATAGCTTTTCGCGTTATATAGTATTACGTTGCAACTAATGTATAATATCTAATGTGTTCATCTTTCCTACTTTCATTATTTAGATTGTCTCACAAATACTTACGATCTTTTCTTTTGCACTTCAATAGATTCTTCTTCAACCGGTTATGAAATCGACTTGTATAAATGGCCTGTGGACGTGCTTGATATTTGAGTCGCGTCGATTCGACTTGTTCGTATATTAGTACGATTTTTTAATTCAATTTTTATTGTGTATATAGCTTTTTCGCATTATATAATATTACGTTGCAACTAATGTATAATATCTAATGTGTTCGTCTTTCCTACTTTCATTATTTAGATTGTCTCACGAATACTTATGATCTTTTCTTTTGCACTTCAATAGATTCTTCTTCAACCGGTTATAAAATCGACTTGTGTAAATGGCCTGTGGACGTGCTTGATATTTGAGTCGTGTTGATTTGACTTGTTCATATGTTAGTACGATTCCTTAATTCAATTTTTATTGTGTATATAGCTTTTTCGCATTATATAGTATTACGTTGCAACTAATATATAATATCTAATGTGTTCGTTTTTCCTACTTTCATTATTTAGATTGTCTCATGAATACTTACGATCTTTTCTTTTGAGCTTCAATAGATTCTTCTTTAACCGGTTATAAAATCGACTTGTATAAATGGCCTGTGGACGTGCTTGATATTTGAGTCATGTCGATTCGACTTGTTCGTATGTTAGTTTTTATTGTGTATATAGCTTTTTTGCATTATATAGTATTACGTTGCAACTAATGTATAATATCTAATGTGCTCGTCTTTCATACTTTCATCATTTAGATTGTCTCATGAATACTTACGATCTTTTCTTTTGCGATTCAATAGATTCTTCTTTAACCGGTTATGAAATCAACTTGTGTAAATAGCCTGTGGACATGCTTGATATTTGAGTTGCGTCGATTCGACTTGTTTGTATGTTAGTATGATTTTTTAATTCAATTTTTATTGTGTATATAGCTTTTTCGTGTTATATAGTATTACATTGCAACTAATGTATAATATCTAATGCGCAAATAAGTATTCTTCTTTCTTACTTCATTTAGATTGTTTTACAAACAGTATTATCTTAATATTTCCAAATAACTATTGATTAGGTTTTTCAATTTGTTTATTTTTGGTTTTGGTTAAATGTTTTTTAGTAAATTTTATATTAATAATAAAGTATAAATATATTAATAATAAAGTATAAATATATTAATAATAAAGTACAAATATTTTAATAATAAAGTACAAATATTTTAATAATAAAGTACAAATATTTTAATAATTTTTGTAAATAATTGCTATTTATTTTAAATTAAAAAGCTATTAAATAGCTATAAAATTGTAATTTTAGCAAAAAATATGTAGTTAAAAAGTTCATTATCATTACTATTAATATACATTATTTTAGCAATAAATTAAATAAATTATTGGCTATTTTTTACCAAATTTTTTTTTAAAAAATTTTGCAAAGTATATATATGCTAATAAAAATGTGCTTTATTTATTGCCTAAATTAGAATTGTAACTAACAGTACTAGAAAATCAGAAAAAGTTAGAATTAGATGAATTTAAAGTATTTTAACGCGGATAAATGTCGTGCTTCAATGGCCACGAATAATGGTTATCACAAAGTGTACTAGGTTATGAATGTCTCAATATAAATGTCTAAAACGAGATAGCTAGGCTTTTTTTTCTTTATCTTAAAGAAATCAGTATGGGTGTATTATTTTCGATAATATATACTAATTTAAGTTAATATCATTTACATAACGAATCGTGACCTATATTAAAATGTATAAGTAAAACGTGCTTTTAATAATCAAATGATTATTAATTAAAAATGAGGACCAACAAAAACGGCAAGTGGCTCATTACGAACAAAATTAAAATAGAAAAGGTCCAAAAAACATTCAAAATAGGTATACATAAATCAACATTCGTACGTATGTACGTACGTTGTGGTCAAATCTTCTAGTAGACCTGATGAATCTGTTAGATATGTTATACCTGTTAAATATGTCAGATCTGTTATATTTATTAGATCTGTTATATATATTAGATCTGTTATATCTGTTATATCTGTTAGTTTCGTTAGATATGTTAGATCTGTTATATATGTTAGATATAATAGATAGAATTAGCGAATTAGTTAGTAGCCAAAACATGTATATAAGGTCTAATAGTTCGCCTTGAATTAAGTCAGTTAGCAATTTGCGCTAGTGATGCCTGATGAAACTATGTGATGCTAATTGTCACTTGGTACAATATATAAAAATCAACAAACTATTTTGATTTTTATAAGTAATAGCACGTGATAATTAGCATCACATGGTTTGTCAGGCATCACTAATTTGCGCATATAACTCATAAAAATTCATTCTCCTAATTCCCTGAAAATGTAATCTTATAGCCCCGTGATTCCGAATTAGAGCTTCATAATATCTAGAGCTCCATTTGGCCCGAATAACTCAGACCAAGTCTCTCCACGCCTCCTTTCGTGCCTTCCACCATTAGGGTTTAAATAGAGTTTGATCGTTAGTGTGTTGATTTGGATTAGTTTAGAATTAGTTGAGACCCATATTTTGAGGTTCCAAATCGATTTGCATATGGGTGTAGAAGCCCCATAACCACATATCGATATAAGTGGAAAAGCCTCATGAGTAAATTAGGAAAAATTTGAACCACATATCGATATAGCGATAGGTGGAAAATCCCCATGAGTAAATTAGGAACCACGTATCGATATAGGTAGAAAAGCCCCATACGCAATTTCTAATAATATACATATACAGTAATATAAATAGAGACTAATGACATCACTTAGTTACATTATATATATATAAACGTTTTATAAAACAAGTTTGCAGAAAGAAGTAATCATATGACAGCATGGTGACAAACCCGAATTTAGTGATGATCGTCATAATTGAATACTGTAAAATTTTTTCTACGTGTTGATCTTTCAAAACCTACCATTAAAAAAACAAAGTAGCAAGAAAGCTCATAAAAGTCTACGTTCTATTAAAATTAATCCAAAATATTTAATGAGTTATATTAGAAACAAATTTTATAAAAGATCGAAGGTATCTTATGATCCAATAAGTAGAATTTAACAATTTTTATACCATTAGATTCGTCTCAATGAAATGAGTCAAACGATATAAGCTTCATCCAATTCTGACCACTGGATCGTGAGATATCCTTGATCTAGTAAATAAAAATCTTTCTAAACTTATTAAAAATTGTGCATGTGATCGGTAAATTTCATACTTTTATTGGACAGATCGACCCTGAGTCAGCGTGGGAAGTTTATGCTACAAGGATTGTATGACGGATAAAAAAAAAAGAAATCCAGAAACACTTCACACGCCGCTTAACCATACTCTGTTCCTGGTATAAAGCTCAGATGACTCATTTGAAATAACTAAATTTGTCATTCTCGCATAGACCAGTTGCTATTTAGTATATATTATTCTTGGCGTATTATTTTTATGTAAACGGATTGGAAAATTCTAGACTTTTCGCTTTATTGAGATTGATAATTTAAGATATTTATTATTTTGATGTGCTCCGATTTATGCATTATCTTTATAGGGTTTTAGGCGGCTTATTTAAGTTTCAGTAGTACACTATTATTGGTTTAAATAAAGAAGGTTTGGATAGGGTAAATCGATTACACTGGTGCCGGAGCACATAAAAATTATCATATAACAAATGCGTATATACATATTTTTGTTAACTAAATTACAAATTTGAGCACGCGCACGGATAAAAATTTTGTCTTCATAATGTTTATGCAGATGCATCAAAAGGTAAGTTTTATATCATTTTGCATAGATACTAAAAGTACGTCGCTACGCTCCGGACAATAATATACATATGCACACATGTGATAAACAAAAAAAAATAGGATTTTCTATAGAATAGGTGGGCAAACCCCGTAAACTCCGAAACTCCGCTAAAATATCTATTACTAATCATTAGCGAAGTTTATTTTTTATATTGCCACCTATTCTATAGAACATCCAAAAAGGATATGCTATACGTATTGTTATAAATATAAGGTTTAATTGTCGATTTTTTCTTATGTCAAACATACAAAACATAATAAAATCTATTAAAATAAGTATTTTCTTAAAAACCAGATTTTTAAATTTATAGTTTATTTGAAATATGAGCGATGAGAATGATTTCTTTATTCTTTATGACGAACCTAACAATGCAGGAGCATTAAGACTTCGCGGACATTCATATTATCGGTCGAAAAATTATGAAAAATCACTTAAAGATTATACCAAATCATTAGAAATTGAACCCAACAACGCAGAAGCATTAAGATTTCGTGGACATTCATATTATCGGTTGAATAATTATGAAAAGTCACTTAAAGATTATACTAAATCATTAGAAATTGAACCTAACAATGCAGATGCATTAAGATTTCGTGGACATTCATATTATTTTTTGAATAATTATGAAAAGTCACTTATTGATTTAAATGAATCATTAAAAATTAAACCTAACAATGCAGAAACATTAAGACTTCGTGGACGTTCATATTACCGGTTGAAAAATTATAAAAAATCACTTAAAGATTATACTAAATCATTAGAAATTGAACCTAACAATGCAGATGCATTAAGATTTCGTGGAAATTCATATTATTGGTTGACTAATTATGAAGAGTCACTTGAAGATTATACTAAATCATTAGAAATTGAACCTAACAATGCAGATGCATTAAGATTTCGTGGACATTCATATTATTGGTTGTCTAATTACGAAGAGTCACTTGAAGATTATACTAAATCATTAGAAATTGAACCTAACAATGCAGATGCATTAATATTTCGTGGACGTTCATATTATTGGTTGAATAATTATGAAAAATCACTTATTGATTTAAATGAATCATTAAAAATTGAACCTAACAATGCAGTTGCATTAAGACTTCGTGGATATTTATATTATCGGTTGAATAATTACGAAAAATCACTTGAAGATTATACTAAATCATTAGAAATTGAACCTAACAATGCAGATGCATTAAGATTTCGTGGACGTTCATATTATTCTTTGGATAATTATAAAAAATCACTTAAAGATTATACTAAATCATTAGAAATTGAACCTAACAATGCAGATGCATTAAGATTTCG